TAAAATTGAATATTAAGATAAAACCAGTGAATAAAATGAATCTGTTTAAAATCTGTTTATAATTTATAAAAAAATGTTATTGTTTTTGCAGATTAGGTAGTCATTTATTACAAATAAAATCCTGGTATCAATTTCAGATTAAAACCTTGGAATCGCAATGTAAAACTTGGCTGGAAAAGTTTATTGATACCGACAACAAGCTCCAAAGTCTTACTGTACACTCTGAAGAACAGGAAATAAAATTTGAAAACCTCCGAATGCACTGCAGTGAACTGGAAGGTTTACTTGAAGAGCTCCGACCTAAACATCATAATGATAGTTTTACCGAAGAAAGTTTTCGAGGTGTAAGATTGAATCGTCGTTCGAAAAATTTAGATCTTTCGCCATCTTGTGAAGATTTAGCTCATTCAGTAGTTGATGTACAGCTTAGGGAAGTTCAGAAAGAAAATGAGTATCTCAAAAATGCCCTAGAAAATGCTAATACCAGATCCAAAAGGCTGAATGAAGATCTAGAAAAGTCTGTAATGGAAAAAAATATGGTAACAGATGAAAGGGATAAGTTCAACCAAGAACTTGTTGAATTCAGGAAAAAAATTGAAGAAATCATATCAAATAACAAAAAATTCATTAGAGAATATGGGCATATTTCTGCAGAATATGTGACCTTCAATAATAAAAAACAAAAAATACAAGAAGGCTGTGATGGTTTCTCAACTCAAAATGATCAACTAGATATGCAAATGATAGCAATACAAAAAGTGTTGATTAGTCTTGTGAATGATCTTGAAAGGGAGAAAAATCTTTCGAAAGACTTGAAAAAAGATATCCACAAACTCATAGCTGAGAAAAATGTAGTAATAGCTGAAAGAGATGAACTGGTGTATAAACTTGGATCATCTAACAAAAAAGTTGATGAGCTTATTATCGATAATCAGAAATTACTGTCTGAATATCAAAATTTGTCTGAGAGTCATGAGTCACTTATTCAAAAATACCAAGTTATATCAAAGAATCATGATGAATTGCAAAATAATAAATTGAATCTTGAGCAGGCTCTTCAAAACAATAATTATATTTTGAAAAAACTCGAAGACGACATTAATAGAATGACTTCAGATCGAGAGAATATTATACAGGACAGAGATAGGTTCGTGAGTAATTTTCATATTGCTAATGAAAAACATAATGAACTGAAACTGGAAAATGAAAAACTGCTCTCTGAATATAACAACTTGAATCAAAAATATGAAACTCTCAATCAGGTGAAATATAAACTAACTAAAGAGATAGATGACTATATGTTGATGTGTAAGCAACTTGATAAAAACCTAAAAAAAATGCAAAACAAAACTGAAAAATTGGATTTGGCATTCAATGAGGAATCTAATATTTCAAAACAATTGAGAGAAGATATCAGTAAGGTTACTATGGATAAAGTAACTGTGATGGAAGAAAGAGATAATCTAAAAAATGAACTTGAAAAATTGAATCAAAAGTGTGATGGAATCATCTTGAATAATAACAAATTACTGAAGGAATATAATGAAGTATGTCAAAAATTTGAGATATTAAATTCTGAAAAAGAAGAAATACTAAGAGAATTTAAGAAAGCCACTGCTAATGCTGAAGAACTCAAAGTACAATATAATAATGTGAAAAGAGACAATGAACACATTGAAATAATCCTTCATGAAGAGAAAAACCTTTCCAAGCAACTGAAAGAAGAAATCAACACCCTGTTACTATATAAAACAAAACTAGCAGATGAAAATAACATGAAAAGTGAAACAATTGAATCACTTGTACTGGAATTGAAAAAATCAAATGAAAATTATCAAGAACTCATCCAGAATCACAATGATTTAACACTAGAAAAAGAAACTTTGAGAGGACAAAAAGATGCACTTTTCCTTGCACTAGAAAATGAAAGATTATCGGTTGCAGGCCTTTCAAAAGAATTACTAGAAGTGAAAAGTGAACTTGAATGTTGTGAGATCCTAAAAAAAGAATTGTGCAAAGATATAAAACAAAAATCAGAATCTTTGGAAAAATGCATGAATGAAAGTGATGATTTATTAGAAAAATTAAACATAGCACTTTCTCAAAAAGATGAAATTTCAATTCAATTTAGAGAACTTTCACACAAACTGAACACGGTCAGTTCAGAGAAATATCAGTTGGAGATTGAGAGAACTGATTTGTCAGATACAGTTGAAAAATTTGTTGATCAAGTGAAGGCATTATCTATGAAAAATGATAAGCTGGCCACAGAATTGGATGAAAGTATTAGAAAATGTGAAACAATGTTTAATTTGCTAAATACGGTGGAGTCAGAAAAGGTGGAGTGTACAGAAAAATTGAAAACTGCTGAAAGTGCATATCATCAAGCCATAAGTGTGAATTCAGCATTGAAATCGGATTATGATAATCTTAAATTAACGTTAGAAAATGTCAAATTAGAAAAAGAAATGTTTGAAACTAAAATAAAAACTATGAGTACAGAATTGGACAATGTTAAATCTGAAAAAGACCAATTTCAAAACGAGTTAGATAAGGTTATCAAAAACTTGTGTGACAGTCAACAAGAGAAGTTAGAATTTTCTAATTTGACAAAAAAACTAAAAGATGAAAAAGACAATTTGCACATTAATTTGTGTCAAGTACAGGAAGACCTAGAAAAAGTTGAAACAGAGAATATTCTTTTGAACAACAAAATTGAAACATCAATATCTGAAAAACAACAAATTTCTGAACAATTTGATAAAGTTGCTTTTGAAAATGAAAAACTTTTAATGAAAGAAAATGAAAACAAATCAGATTTAGAAAAGGTTACTGAGGAAAATGTAAATTTGCTTGAAAAGTTGAGATACCTACAACAAAACCATACACAACTTACCGAAGAATTGAGCACATGTAATTCAGAAAAGAATGAATTGTCAGAAAAAGTCAATAAAGCTCTAAACGATATGAAATATTCAATATTGGAAAAGAATATGTTGTACCAGAAGTTGGAAAAAACTGTAAAAGATTTTGATGAAAATTCTGAGAAATTCAACAACACCTTGAAGGAATTAGAAGTTACGAGGTTAGAGAAAGAACAGTTGAGAGAGGAATTGAGCAAAGTAATATTGCAGAAATCTCAGTTGAAAGAAGAAATGGAAAACGTTGATGTAACAAGGATTCAAAATGAACAGAGCCTTTACGAGAAACTTTTAAATTCAAGAGAAGAAATAAAAAGTCTCAAAGAAGTGAAGGACCTTCTGGAGAAAGAAAAATGTGACTCGAACAGAAAATTGGAGGAGTGTTCAGAAAAAATGGAAAATATTCTAGCGGAGAATATAAGATTAAATCAACATTTAGACAGTGTAAACTTGGAAACCGAGAAAAAAAATAAAGATCTTCAGTTGTCTTTCGAAAAAATCGACAGGCTTTCAGCAGAATTGAAAGTGTACGTTTCAGACCTAAAAAGGGCTCTTGATGAAAATTCTAATTTATCCTCAAAATTAGAACAAATCTCGAAGTCATTGGATATTTCTGAAAAAGAAAAAGATGAAATAACTAGAGAATTTGAAAAAGCCCAATCCAGTAATTCAGTCATTAAAAAGAAACTATCTGAGGACAGAAAGCATCTGTTCAGTATTCTTCAAGTAATATACAATGAATTGGGAACTTATGTTTTAGAAAATGAAGAACACCTTGAAAAATATATGTCACTCGTTGAAAAATTCAAAATAATTTCAGTGTGTGATCAAGATTTGAATAGTAGTGATTGTCATGTGTATATGGTAAACGTTGATAATCCAGAAGATGAAGGTGCTATATATGATGAATTAAAACAAATTATAATTCAAATGATACATATGATTATTCTTGATAAAGACTATATTTCTGAAAAAATACTACTCTTATCTCAAGAAAACATTAACTATTCACTGCAAGTGGAAACTTTTAGTTCCGATTTGCAGACATATGAGGCTGAGAATGAAGAACTTTCTAATATGTTATGTGAGGTTAAAAAACAAATGGAAATCGCATTTGATAAACAGAGTGAAAGCTCCAAAAATCTTGAAATGTTGTCCGATGAATTGACTCAGTACAAAGTAGAAATTAATAAAACTTCTGAGAAAATACACAATATAATCAAAGAATTAGAAAATGGCACTTCTGAAAACGGCAAGCTTACTAAAAAACTAGAAAAGAATCAAACACTCCAGCAGTCTGTGGAGTTATTAGAAAAATCATCTCATGATGTAACTAAAGAAATAAATCGACTTAATGGTGAAATAAAAGACATTTTACTCAAGTTAGATACAGCAAATGAAGAAAAAAGTAAGATACTGCTCCAGCTTGAAAATGTCTCCAAGGTGAAAGCAGAATTTTCAGAAGAATTGGATAAGGTTTCTCAAGAGAAAGCCGAGTTGTCAGAAGAAATTCAAAACATGAAGAAAAAAAATTATGAAACTTCTGAATATGTGAAAGATTTGTTGAGTAAAATCGATCAATTAACTGAAGAAAATGCTCAACTGTTAGGGCAGATCACAATTATATCCAGCGATTTGAATGAAAAGAATAAGCAATTCCATTTGCTTGAAATTTCTTCCAAACAACTGAAGATAATTGCTGACGAGAAAGCCAATATTTTGGAAAAAGTGTCGGAAGAAAATAAAGGTATTTTTGAAATTGTTGACAGATTATCCCAAGAAAAATATGAAATGGCTTGTACAATAAATCAAATATCACAAGAGAAAATGGATTTGAAAGAAAATTTAGACAAGCTGACCAAAGATTTTGAATGGCTTTCCCAAGAAAAGACTAAATTAACAGAATCTTTTGAATTGAGTCAAAAAGAGTTACAAAAAGTAAAAAAAGCACGGAATGATATACTAGAGAGTCAGACAAAAATTATGAAAGAAACTGAGAATAACATTGTAATGGCTCATCAAAGTACTATGGACATGAAGCAAGAATTGCTGAAACGATTAGAAGAGTCAGAAAGTAAGAAGGCACAATTAGAAACAGACATGAAAAAAGTCCGAGAGGCATATGTATCTGTGGTTTCGGCGAACTCAAAGTTGGAACTTGAAATTGTGAATCTTAGGAAAAAGATTGAAGACAAAAACTCTCGTCTAGTTGAATTTATACATATCAAGGAAGCCTATGAAAAGCTTCTAGAAGAAAACAGTCGGTTAATGACTGAAGTAGATACAGTAAAGTATAAAAGGTCCAGGGATAAAGAAGAATTTGTTAATTTGTTGAAAAAAGAACGTGAAGAAGCTGATTCGAGGGAGAGCAAGAGAGTACGAGAAGTGAGAAATGAGTATGAAGAAAAGGTGGAAAAAATGAAAGACAAAATGGTATGTTGGGAATCATTATTTATTATAAAACATCAATTAAATTTTTATTTCAGTTGAAACTGTATAGAGAGGAAGTCAATAAAGAGATACAGAAAGTAAAATTTGATCCTACTGAGACGGTAAGTATTTCTATAAACGTTAGTCAGTAACGAATGTATACTATAATTCCAAAATAGTAGACACTAAATTCTCAGAAATGACTGAAGTTTTTGCCTTAATCTGTCTTTTGCAGTGGCGTACGGAAATTATATTATACAGATGAGAAAAAATGATGATGAAATATATAGAATCACAACCTTGACAACAATGTTTTCATTTTAATGAAATAATATTTCTGAGAATGTAGTGCCTGCTATTGACGAATTGTACTATAATTCTTTGTTTTTTTAGGCTTTCATTCAAAAAAGAAATGAAGATCTCACAAATGAACTCTTTGAAGCCGAACAGAAAATACATCTCTTACAAACTGAGATTGAAAGGTTGAAAACAAACGAAAACGAAGTAACTAGAAGCATGTATTCTTCCAAAGAATCTTTACGGTCTCTAAGAGGAAAAGAAAGTTCGGCATTTCAAGGTGGATTGAATCGAGACAGTGTAATATCACGAAGCAGTGTTACCTCTCGAAGTAGTGTCACCTCTCGAAGTAGTGTTACTTCCCTACGTTCAGGTAGTAAAGAAAATGAAGTTAGAAATAGACCAAGTTCGGTAGTAATAAGGAAAGGAAATAGTGTATCAGCCATGCATATACCAAGTGCGAAAAATAGGACTGAAAATGATAGAAAGTTGTCCACATTACCTAGATCAAATATAATGGAAATTGAAGAAACATTAACAATATCTCGAAGAACTTCTATAAACAATGTTCCAAGTAACATTGGTTCAAATTTGGAAATGGAAGACGAGGATGATGATTTCAACAATAAATATTTGGCTGATCTTAAGGCAGGAAGATGTCTGTTGGGACCATCAGATAATGATACAAATGCTGACAGGTTTTCAGAGTTAGCTTGGAGAAACTCTTTGGTACCACCACATTTAAAATCATCCTACCCTGCTGAAACACAATTTATCAGTCCATCCCATTTTAAAGAGGATGACATAAAGGTATTTCATAGCACACTGTTCAGTATTAGTTTGTCTCTTTGAGTTTTGAATATGAAACAAACAAATTCTTTCATATATATCTCCAAAAATTTATTATGACTGTCTTTGCTTTTTTAACTAAAATTTTGTTCAATTTTGAGTGAGTAAAATGTTTTTCGTTACAGTTACATCATAAAATGTTGATAAATTATTTGTCTTATACTCTCAAGTAGCTCTTCTTTGATATTAGGTTTATAGTAGATTGTAATTGGAGATTTCCTTTTCAAGACCATGAAATTCATTTGTGCCTAGGGCATCCTAGGAATCCACTACTTTTTACGAATTTCAAATGTGCAAAGCTCTTTTTTGATACAACACATATTTGCTATTAATATATAGAACAAAATTTGGGCTGGTAGGTCATATTCAAATGGAACTTATAGTACTAAACATTTCATCTGCTAAAATGGACATCTTCAGCAGTGGTTGGCAGCGATGCATAGCAACCTTCTTGTGGGTTCATTATACAGACCCCAATATTACACATGTTTAAACCATGAAGCCATAGAGATTTATAAGCATCCGAACAAATTTGATAGAAAATAGGAAGTTACCAAGATTGACAAAATATGGTACCCAACTCTCCGCCAATGCTCTGTCAAACCTAACAATCAGGAATTTTTTCCTCACCACTTTCTCTCTATGAATATCAATTAATTGAAACATAGGTCAGTCGGTAGCCAAGCGGTTCGGCGTGTGTGCTTTGTTCACTCACTCGAATTGACTGCCGTGTTGGTCGGTGGTTCAAGCCCTAGTCTGAACGATCGATCCAAGGATTCTAAATAATTGAGTTTGTAACCCTTTCTTGCATAGTGCAAAATTTCCGTATCGTTTAGATTCGGAAACTTGTAGTTGCATACCAAGGAATTGTTTGAAAACGTCGAATCATTTTTTCCTATTCTGAAGGACCTTTCATGTTCAGCATACCGTTTTTGGAAATTTCGACCACATAAACACAGTTAAACTCCGGACACTTAAGCTTATAAACTCCAGATTTCTCCAACTTGTCCACCTTATCTTTGGCATTGAAAATGAAATCAGATAACCTGGCATGTGGTCTGAATGCCACTTCCACATTGTTTTCTCTGAAGAAACCCGCAATTATCTCTGTTCTTTTTCTAAAATATGTTAAGAGTTAACCATTTCTTGATTTCTGGGATTATACCTGAGATATACCTGAGGGTATATTAATCTCCAAGTTAATTTACAGCTTTATTTTCTGGCTAACTTCTGACAGAAAAAGAGCAGAGATAATTGCGGGTTTCTTCAGAAAAAACAATGTGGAAGTGGCATTCAGACCACATGCCAGGTTATCTGATTTCCTTTTCAATGCCAAAGATAATGTGGACAAGTTGGAGAAATCTGGAGTTTATAATCTTAAGTGTCCGGCGTGTAATAGTGTTTATGTGGGACAATGTGGTCGAAATTTCCAAAAACGGTATGCTGAATATGAAAGGTCCTTCAGACTAGGAAAAAAATTATTCGACGTTTTCAAATCATTCCTTGGCATGCAACAACAATTTTTCGAATCTAAACGATACGGAAATTTTGCACTATGCAAGAAAGGGTTACAAACTCAATTATTTAGAATCCTTGGGAAATTCACAAGCATAAACATTGCGGGTGCAACCTGTTAAATGATCAAATTGATTTAATTGACTCATCGGTTTTCAAATTAACAAATCCGCATTGTAAACTGTAAATTCAGGTTCTCAAGCCAAGTACCTCTATTAGTACCTACAGGGGTGGTATATGTATACAAGGGCTAATGTAATAAACCATTGTTAGTTTAAAGTGTAAGTTTGAAAATGTCCTTATAGGACGAAATTACAGTAACCTTAGTTACAACAAATAAAAGTGGTAAAAAACATAGAAAGGTTCAATTCTCTTTTCTTCATTATGATTTCCTGCCACGTAGTAACAGCTACATCCTTCAAATTCAAAATAAACTCTCAACAAAGGTGTGTGGATCATGCACAAAAGATTCTTTCAGATACAAACTGTAAAAAAAAGCTTTATTTGAAACAACTTCACAGGAACATTGAGTTACGTGAAAGAAGAAGTCCTTTCAAAATTGCTACTCTCATGAATATCGAATTACACGAAAAACACTTTTTTTTCCATTCAGTCTGTGCTCCAAACATTTGTTATGGAATTGAAACAGCGATCATTGACAGGAAAAACTACACGTGAAATTTCATATCAAGAGCATTGATATGAAATTTCACTTACATATAAATCTAGCATTGTTGAGATATACTTCTTGAAGTTTCAGGATTGAAAATGCTTGTCACCAATACCTCATCACACCTTTTTGAACTACATTAATTTTAATCCCAGCCATAGCATCTTCATTTGAATTTAAATAGTAGATATTTTTCATGGGAGATTAGTTTATGAGAAACACGCCTTTTGGTTTCCTACTCCATATTTATATAAAAAATCCAAAATATTTTTTTCATTAAAGGTCTCTCATGTTCAATGGCCATCCATATAAAATTTGAGTATTACATTCAATGATTAAAAAAAAAGGTAGTTAATTTGATAATATTCTTATGAATTAGCTAATATGCTATTGAAATATCATTCCAAAAAACGTTTGCTGGACGGCCCACATTTTGTAACAACACTTTTAAATGGTGCTTATTTTTTTTAACATATATCTAAATGATTTTATTCATTTCTATATTTTTCATAGTCAGGAAATATTGGATTGGATGACAGCCTCAGCAAACTCCTTCCTGGAGAAAAACCACGCCAAAAAAAAGATTTTGGCACGACCTCCTACAAGAAACCAGGTCCTCCGACACCGAGCAAAAATGGCGGCCGTTTATCACTTCAGGGAAATGAGGTTCAACCTTTACGTGAACACAATGACAGGACTTCTCCAAAAAAAACTACTCCAAGTAGAATCAAAGCATTATTCATGGGTCGAACTAGTCTAAGGGAAAATTCCGAGGTACACTTAAATGATTGCTTTTTGCATATGATCGAATGCTGTAGACTAGTGGATGAGAATCACCGCCCTGTTCCTCTTTGTACTGATTCTTGCTACAATGCCACCTTTAGAAAATCACTCTTCTATTTGCAAACTCTTTCTAAACCTTGCTGCAGTTCCAAACGTGAAAATAGGAGTGATTGTTGTTTTAGAGCTTTTGTTCTTGGTAGGATGTGGATGTGTGCTAAGAGCCTTTGCATTCTGGTGGTATTTTCTTTTGTGGCATTCAAATACTGTTGTCATGTCTTGAAGTCAAAGTAGTGAGACATGTTTTGTTAGAATTTGGTAAGCTAAATGTAAAAACTTTTCTTAATTAATCGCATGATACATCCTAACATTTCCACTAACTTATTTCTCAATTATTTAATTTGAAAGGAGTCTATTTTGAGGAAAGTTGAATTTTTTTTGGAAAAGAAACGTTTTGGCTTTCTACTTCTCCATCTTTATACAAAATTATGTGTGGGAATCTTCGAAAAAAAGGAAGAAAGCAATTAATTTCCAAATATTTTTTTACAAAGATGTAAATCATTCAAAGAAGTAACTTTCAGACAAAAACTGGAAGAAAAAGCTCTCTTGAAACAACTAATTTCATATAAACATTGAATTACACAAAAGAAAAAATATTTTCCAAACAACTACTTTTATTTGAAAAATGAATTATACGAAAATCACTTTTTTCTATTCAGTTTGTACTCCAAATATTCGCTATGGAATTGAATCAGATATCGTTCATAAGTATGCTACACAATATAGTATATGAAAGAGATGAAATTCCATTTACATGGTACACTGTCATCCTCAATGGTGGACATCTGGAATAAGACACTTGTATTATTGCCTCTTCACCAATCTGCATAATATTACAAGATGAAGCACTCAGTTCATTCATAAAATTATGACTTTATGTCACGAATTAATCAAATCTGCTCGTGTCATCAATGACGGTACTTAATGACATTTATTCACTTATTTGATTTAATCCCAGCCATAGGAATCTTGTTTGAATATTTTCAACAACGAATAATTCTTTATATTTGCTTTACTGGCATAATCGAAAAACTTCAAATGTTGACATTTTTTATTGNAGAAAAATCAGTGTAGATGAAGCTGTAGCTGAATTTAAAACAGTAGTAAAATCAATATTTGAATACTGGGTGACAACGAAATTGTTGTGCACGGCACCACTCATTTGTTTGTGGGGTAAAGAATTTGAAAAAAGGGGTAAGTTCATTGGAGCCGGTATTTCCAATAAACAACAAAAACCTATTTCAGTTTAACCGAAAATGAGTCTGAGTAAAGAATTATTTGAATAAAACTATGTATGATAGAATATAAAATTGTTGTGTTCAACGTAATAACACTTTCATAATGCCATTTTCTTCAAATTTTACATGGCTGCTGTATGACGTCATCTATGAAAATATTGTCAAACAATGTTTCTTACGGTTTTTTTGGGTGTATAATCTTCCACATTATAAAAAAANAATGGTAAGGCATACAAACAACGGCATGGTATTAACAAATTTCGAGAAACGCTAGAAGTTGCAAAATCTTTAAAATTACCACACCCACATAAATTTGGTGGGCATTGTTTCCGCAGAAGTTTTTCTACATTGATAGTGAACTCTGGACCAGATATAACTACTTCAAAACGGCATGAAGGTTGGAGATCATCAACAATAGGTGAAGGTTATATTGAAGACTCTATAGCTGCGAAAACAAATTTATTAGTGAATGACTTTTGTTGGATTCCAAAAAACAAAATACCGTCCGTTGTAGAAGAATTTCACAAATAAATAAAAATAATTATGCTATGATTACAAAGAGCAAGACGGATTATTCAATCCAGTGGAGTATTGCTGTAAAATTGTTGGCACATTACTACAAATATCCACAACACAGTGATCCACAACAACAATTAATTTTATCAATTTACATGTTTGTTATGTTCTGTGCTTTACTTTAACTATCAACACCGTGTTAGAAATCACATGTTAAAAGGTAAGACCTCGTTAGTCCTTAGCTCGCGCAAATTTCGACTTCTGAGGGTTATCGTTCGTAGGGGTGCCATAGCTGATTAACGGAAAAAATATATTTTAAACATAAGATATTTTAACGTTAAAATTATAATAAAATTTATAATGGGTATCTGCCTTCAATTATAATTTTCACAAGAAAATACAGTAAATAGTCAATTTATCAGAGTATTTTTTGGTCGGGTGCTTATACAGACCAACATTTCAAAAATGAAAAAAAAAAGTTATTTTTCAATGCCTGTGCTTCTGTGATCAATAAATGTCACTACATTGACGTTGAATGCCAATCGAACCAACTGTAATTCTTGCAATGCCCATTAAGTTATGTATTTGCGTCCGTTAAATAGCAGATTTCATGTATGTGATAGAATTGGCAGATACTTAAATCCATAATTTATTCAAGTAAAACTTGATTTTGAGATTTTCACTGGAAAGTTTACAAAACCGCAACACGTGTTTCGATAAACAAATACGCGGATTCAATTCTCGAATTAATTTTTTTTTTCAATTTTCAAATTGACAATGGTTTTTTCAATCATGAATTGAAACATGTAATTGAGACCGGGCGGGGATCTAGGCAGGAGGAGGGCAAGCCGGGACCTATGCCCCGGGCGGCAAGTTAGAGGGCGGCCAAATTCATACATTACAGATGAATGGACAATTCATCATTTCTCCATACGTGCAATAAAGGAAGGGAGATGAATTTGTTGAAAGCATTGGGAATAAAATAAATTTTACTGAATTTCAAAACGCTCAATGATCAACTGGAACTACGCAGCTCTTTCCTTTTGAATTTGTGGACAATATCGTGGCCAATCTTATGATAATGGGTCCAATATGGCTGGCATCTATCAAGGAGTAAAAGCTAGGACTGCAGAGCATGAGCTTACCGAGTTCGTACCGTGCCCCATCATGCTAGGAAGCTATCGACCTATTTGGACTGTATCAAAAACTATATTGCTTTTTGTTGGCTTTTCTACTAGGTGGGACATATGAAAAAATATGTTAAAACTAATATAAAAGGAAGTAGTCACACAAGATGGTCGACGAAATATGTTGCTGTGAATGCCCTATTGAGAAATTTGCTAGAAGTAGCGGAAGCCTTAGAAGAAGGTAAGCAAACTTACTCTCATGCTCCAGAAGCTAGATATATGTGAGAAATCTGTCAAAAAAGTCATGTTCCTGGCAGAAACTATTCTGAATGTATACCGTGCAAATAAGTTGGGGTTATTTTAGACCTGCCTAACTTTGGCGCCATGTCAAAAATTGAACACAAAACCCAGGAGAAAAAACAATATTTTCACATAAATCAGATGCACAAAATATTCTGATGAAGCATCCTGTGGACCAAAAACTCAAAGAGACACTCTTTCCAAGATGCTAGCCGATAAAATTTTTTTTGTTGCAAAACAAGATATTCTAATCTGTAAATATGGCTCGCAGTACCTAACAAACCATAGTGAAAAACATCATATCATCGGGTTACAGGCAGAATACATTAAGTCAAAAAATGAACTTTTGAGTAATTTGGCTTGAAAGTTTTTTATTTTTGATTTTTTGTTATATTAACATGTCTTGAAATTATTTTGGTATTTTATGAATTTAAAATATATTTTACACATGTATGGAGTAATAAGACTGGAAAAGCAGTTTAATTTAATCTTCCAAGATTATTTTATTCGAGNCTCGTTTGGTGAATCCAATATTAATTTGTTCATATTCATCGCTGAAGTCATGCTTATACTGAACTATGTTTGAGAACTGCTTATCATATTTGAAGCATTTCACTTTCAACCAGTTCACAATATTCCCCCTTGGGTCCTAATTTTTGTTAATTATAGCATAATACCTCACGATCGTCTTCAGAAAAATGTTTCGTACATTTATAACGGCACTTCTCACAATCCACTGGCTTGGGAACTTTGGGATTTTGTATTTTTCCTGCTACACTTTTATAGGGTTGACCTTGGCTTCTTTTTTTCTTTTCAATAGTTCTCTTCCAACTTGAAGGCCTTACAGTGCTCCATCTAGTTTTTTTAAGCTCGTTTCTTTTACCATTTCAGTTCTAAACTCTTCATCTTTGTTGTTTTCTTCACTTGTTGAACTGTCATCATCATTTTCTGGTTTATAGTCCCTATCTTTTAAAGAATTGTCCGAGTCTTCCAAATCTGAGCTATATCCTGCTAGTTGGCAATTGCTAGATTCAGGTACATCTGGATTTTGAGCAGAGTTAAGGTTGCTTTGGTTACTAAAACACTGATCATTTAAGCCATCCACATCTAAACCAAATTCCATTAACGGGATATTGATACGCTATTCTGTAACGCTGGCTTAAGAGATAATATGGCATCGTCAGTTGTACGCTCAAGCCTTGATTGTAAAGTAATAACTTGCGGTGATTGTCCTGGGCGCAGATTATCTAAAAAAAAACAAAAACATAAAATAACGATTTTTTTTCTAGTTTTGTTAAAAGCACGTATCATTATCATTCTCGAAAGTACCTTGAACAATTTTATAGTTATTTATGTATCAAGGGAATTAGGAGGGCCTTAATTACCGATGGCAAAGTTTGCGTCCCGAGGACCTCAGTTACTTTGGCAATAAAGTTCAGCAATATTTCGTATTTTCTATTCTCTTTCCCGAAACAGTGAAAAATGTATTTTGAAGGCATCAT